CCCCCTCCCTTTCACATGAGAAGCCCACCTGCACTATAGAAAGTCATCACTATAGTCTAGTGACTGGGTTTACATACAACAAACCCTTTATACCTGCCGTACAGCCTTTAGTTGCAGTCGGCCGCTCAGCATGTACAAAGCAATGACAGGCTACCAGGAGCTACTGCTGGTCACCACTATTCACCTATCTGCCCTTCCAGCCATTACCTGCGACTAGGGATAATTTGACCAGTCCTGGAAGAAGAGAGATGGGGGGGGGTAATGAAGACTCGAGCAGACAGAATTTAGAGCAGTTGTATATAGTAACCAACCAGCTTCTCTCTTCCGTTTTCTCAGTTAAGCTTTGAAAATGAAAGAGAGAAGCCGATTGGTTGCCGTGCACTGCTGCTCCAGTTTTGAAAAATTCCCCTCAATATGTCCCCAGCTGCCATCTGCCCCCAGCCAGAGATAATCTGGATCTCAGGCACAAGGATCCGGAACTATTGGGCTGTGTGAATGGGGCCTTGCTCTGAGATTACACGTGTTTTGGTCCAGTATAAACATTTGATATGAAATATAAATCAAGAAATTACATTAAACACGTGCTTATGTTTATCCACCATGAACACTGAGGGAATGCGAGCAGTCATTTCCTATGCTAGCCTCAGCAGCACACACACCACCCGGATAGACCCGTGTATGATCTCAGGGACTCACGGTGCATGTTCTGCATGAGCTCCCGGTACTTGTGTCGGATCTCCCTACGACTCCCATTGTCCCGATCTCCTTCATCGTCTCCGTTCATGAACGTGTCTCCATGGTCCTCCTCCGCCGTGGATCTCCGGCTGGACATGTTGGAAGAGCCCGAGGGCAGCAGCCAGAAACCCGTTCACTCTGTTTTGCCGCCGTTAGCAGTACGCAGGACAGAGCCAACGGAAGCCTGTCATAACCAGAAATGACAAGAACACGTGATACAGCAAAACAATGCGTGCCAAGCCTCGTTCTGATTCCTCTCAACTTTATCAATGTCCCATGTTGTCAGCAGTGAGTTGGAGCTGGTGTACTGTAGGTGGCAGCCTTATGTCAGGTGTAGATGCCAGGTCCTTTTTTTTCAAGGACATTATTAGATTTTGCAGGTTTCAGCCAGGAAATGTACTGGGTTTCGAAAACTGACAAAATGAAAGTATAGAATAAATCTTTTAATTAAATTATGTCAAATGTTTTAATTTATCACAAGGGTTTATATACAAGAGGAAGGAGCCACCCTAAAACAGGATATCAGGACCAGTGCTCAGGGATGAGCTGATTCTGCAGGAAACGTAAACTTTTAAACATCATGGAGCAGCATCCATTGTATGTGATTTAATCAGCATTTTACATTAGGGATGGGTTCGATGTTCAGTACCCTGTGAGCCTTGATTGGCTAAAGCCTTGCAGCTGACCATAGGGGCACAGTACTCTGCAAGAGCCATGATTGGGCAAAGTAATGATGACGTTTAAAATTCAAAAATGGCTTGGCCAGCTGATTTGAAAAATGTTCCGGAGGGCTTGGCAGCGAAAGGGTTAACCCTGGATTACGTCGGTGGATCCATTTTTTGGGGTTTTTAAAAAAAAAATTAAAGACTTGTTAAAAACTTGTCTTTTGTTTTTCTTTTTTCAATTAAAGGATTTTTTCAAAAGTCTTTTTAAAAAACTTTAATTTAACCCTTCAGTGAATTGGTACTCATTCATGGGGGGGGAGGCGCATCTGGGTGCCCCTTTATTTAAGGGGTACCCTGATGTGAATAAGCCCCCTGCCCACACACCCACAACCAACGCCCCAGGGCTTGTGGGGAAGAGGCCCTTGTCCCTATCGGCATGGGGGCAAGGTGCTTTTCCAGGGGCGACCCTGGAAAAGCCCCCTTCTAGGTCTGAGGAATGTGTCCTGGTATGATGGGGAAGGGTGGGGGCGCTCACTTTCCCACTCCTTTCCTGCCCTGCCAGACCTGTGCTCAGATCAAGGGACTGGTATGAAATTGTAGGGTTGGGGGGCACAGTTTTTTTCCCCATTTTTGGGGGTGGGGTTCCTCCTTAAAATTCCTACACGACCTAAAGGCCTGGTATGACTTTAAGGGGGAACCCCACTGGTGTTTTTTTTTCTAAATGGGTTCGAATTTGAACCGAGCACGGGGTGTTTGGCCCATCACTATTTGACATGGCAATAAAACATTTTGATTATAATATCACTTTAAATTTCTAGGTATTTTTAGGTAATAGGTAATATTCTAGGTAATTTCTGAGTGAATGGGAACCCATACCAAACATATAGTGGGGGGTGTTCTCAAATTTGACTGAAAAATTGGAGATTCACTTTAAGATTGTTGATGTTCTGTATACTGTGTCAATGTAGCAAGAGGAATCACCAGCACTCAGTAGAATAATCCAACATGTCCATTTATTGGACATAGACGTCACACAATCACAAGAGCCAACGTTACGAGACCATGCAGGGTCTCTTCATCAGGGCTTAAAGAGTGGGTCACTCTCTATGCCCTGATGAACAGAGCCTGTGTGGTCTCGAAACGTTGGCTCTTGTGATTGTGTGACGTCTATGTCCAATAAATGGACATGTTGGATTATTCTACTGAGTGCTGGTGATTCCTCTTCCTACATTGTGTCTGCACGGTGCCATCCGTGTTCATCACTACAAGCACCATTGTCTACATAGGCCTAGATTGCTGCAAGGTGTGCGGAGGATTTCCCCTTCTATCCAATCTGTATCCCAGATAGCAAGCAATTGAGCTGCAAGTTTGAAAATGACTTGCTAAACTATTGCAGACTTGCCAAGCTTCACAATTTTGTTGCACAAGTACAGCAAGTCTGCATTGCAAGTCTCCAGACCAGCGAGCTTGCAGAGCTCTTGCTAAGACCTGCAGGACTCTTGCTGTAGACTTGCCAAGCAAATTTGCTACAAATTCAAAAAGTGTCAAGTAGAACTTGTGCTGCAAGTGTTCTGCAAGTCTACAACTTGCCAGGAATATGTGCAGCAAGTTAACAAAATTACAATTTCACCCTGCCATAAGTTTGTAGCAAGTTATCCTTGCTATGTGGGTATATTGTGTGAGATGTCTCAAGATTAGGATGTAACATTCTGTACACCGTGGGGGTCCTCCCCAGATTAGGACCATGGAGAAAAGGGGATAACTCTCTGAGAAGATTTATTACTAATATGTTACAATAATCTCATTGGGCAGTTATTCTGTGGTATTCAGGTGACGTACAATTGTACTAGCAAATATGTGGTTCGATTTCTGAGTTGGTGCCAATCGGCTTATAGTGGGAGAATTTGGTATGTAGATTATTCATGGATTCAATATGCGCAGGGATGCCCTATGCAGGACTTGCTGTATGGTACATCATATTGTAAGTGTCCCTGGTTGTACTACAATAAACAGTTTTTCTTCCTATTTAGACTGAATTTTATGTCTATTCTACAACAACTTCCCTGATCTTGTGAGACATTTAGCAGAGGACTGAACCAATATGCTACTCCGATTTCTCCTCCAACACTTTAGGTACCTGCTATCGCCACTTACAGGAACAGTGAAGAAACACCAGTGATGACAAGGCCAGAGAAAACAGATACATGAAATCTTGCAAGGCTCATGACTCACATAGAACTTATTAACTCTGGCCTCAATAAGTTAACAATGGCCCAGAGAACTACATGAGCTAAAGGTCCATGTTCAAGTCAGTAGTTTAGGATCTCAGCATCCCATATATGCAAGAGCTTGAGCTGCTGATTAGATGGTTAGGCCCTTAGTCTTCAGACTGTGTTAAAATACTTAAAACTGTTAATATCAATGAAACACACAAGTTCCTAATTCTGGGAGAGATTACAGTAAACCTATGGAAAACCTGAAATCATCGAACTTGCTTTATTCTAAAGATTGCAGGATTTTCCTAAATTATCCAACAGGAACAACCAGAAGTTCTAGGAAGAGTGATCTTGAACTAGAACTAGAAATTGCAAAGAACGACCCACACTTACCTTAGCTACTTAAACACTGCACATGATAATGGCAAAATTAACTGGCTTTTTTCAAGAAAAGTGGGCGACAGCAGATTATAGATGTAAAAGGGAATATCAAGTGTCCTTTCAATCCTTTATCTTTACGTCGGAGTTTAGCATAGATATAGCCAATACCGAGAATGACTCCAACATCTCTGTTTTTCACATAAATGCTCCTAACTTTGCAGCTGCAAATTATGAGAAGCCTATGCCTAAGTAGACAGAAATTGCACTTGCTACCACCAATACCAGTGATAATGAAGATGAAAAAAGGATCCAAATTACTACTGTCCCACTCACAACAAACCACATCCTCTCGGAAAATAGCATGACTTTAGAATGCAAGGATATTTGCTTCAGATTGCACTATATTAGAGAACCGGTTTGTACTAGCCCTGGTGAGACAACACTCCAGACTGCCACCAACTGGCAAGACTAAATCTTCTTCCAATGATCAGGAATTCACTGATTCTGAGATCTAAGCTAAATCCACTGACAGCTCAGTTAACACACTTGGAATACAGTTAGCAATGAATGACCTAAGAAACTCGACAGAATCCTTCTGCTCCATCATGATGCAAGAACATTTTTTTCTTCACAAGGATGGATTTGCCACCTTTGAAGAATTGACTTGATACTTCCACAAATTGATCCAGCTGTTTCAAGTCTACACTGATGCAGAACCATTACAAACTTCACTTTTCCAAGGATTTTGCATGCATTTATTTGTTGTTTCTTTCTCTGTCTCTTTTTTAACCTTCAGGTCCAGAGCACAAGAATCATCCATGCTCATGGATTTTATTGATGTGTTATTGTTATTGCAGTGCAAACCCATGTTTAGTGTAGTGGTATCTATTGATACCAGATGGGAAGTGTGCTGCCACCAGCAGCCCATTTTAATGTTGTTTGTTGTTGTGCTTTGTGTAGTACATTTCCCTTTTTTGTGTTACATAGTGTAGTCCCCTGTTTGACTGAGTCTTGGTGAGTTGACACTGCCTGTGGATTTTTGCCAGGTAAGCAAGTTGTCCATTCTGTCCGCATAGACTGGGTCTCATGAGGTATGTTCAGTTGTATAAAGTGGCATTTGTAACAGAACAGTGAATCTCCCCAGCAGGGACACATATAAAAGTCATAACTGGGTAGAGGGTCTAACCTTCCCTACCATATCCAAAACTCAAAAAAGAATTGGCTCCTTATATACTTTAACATACAGTATGTTTATTCTTCTCAGGAATATAGCTATTTGTTTAGCATCCATATTACCTGTGTCTCACTTTCCTTCTGACCTGTCTTTCCCCTGTGGCTGGTTCTGTTTCTGTCTCTATTTTCTCCTCTACGTTGCACTGTGTGAACATTTCCAGGGCCGTTATATAGCTCTGGGATCAGATTCCTCACACTTCACCAGAGTTTCAAATCCCATTTATAGAAGCTGGCTACATGTGACCTGCTCAGGAGAGGGGATCAACATCCTGAGCCAGCAGGCACAGAGGAGTGCTGCCAGCAGGGCTGGACTGACTAGGTAAGAGAGGAACGGAAGCAGAGGATCAGAGACACTCAGGCACAACTCTGATATTCTGGAGACACTCTGAGACAAGGACAGGGATTAGTAGGTGGCGTTAACTACAGTGGAAGGAAGAAGGAGAAGAATTAACTGTGGACGGAACATCAAAGCTCTGCTTAACTTCCTTATATGTTTTTGAAGGGTAAGAAATAATTTGTGTGTTTTCTTTTATCATGCAGCTTCTCTGCAACATCATATTTTCCTTACGTTATACTGCAAATACAGCACAAATTTACATTAGAAAAAGTGGAGAAGCTTTTGCCAGGTGTCAGA